ATATGAGCTCCCGTATTACCCTATGCTCTTTATTGTTCTGTTTTCCTTAGACCATGTTCTTAAGGGCATGGACTGTGTCTTGTATCTCTGGATGCCCAGTATAAGATAATCATAATGATGTCCTGTATCATGAAATAAAACTTAAGCTGCTAACTTTTAATATAGGAAATAAGATACATGGTTTGTTTTTCTAACACAATTTCCACTCGGAAAAATAGATAACTTCAGTATCTACTGGTTAAGAGATTTACTTAAAACAACCTTTTTATTACAATATCATATTTCCTTAGATTAAAGCTATGCTAGCTTTTGAGCAGATGTTTCCAGAGATAAAATTCATTTAAAATGGTTTTATGCTAAAGTAAGGTTTAGGGAGTAGCCACTTGAGGACAGTAAGTAAAATCTATAGTTTTTTTCATAAGTGAGATATCAGGTAGTGATTAAGATAAACAAAACAGTCCTATGAAAGAAGTTATCTGTGTGAATGATATCTGTTTTGGGCTGTTTTAATACAGAATTACTAGGAATTATGGCCTTTGTCATTTTTTTTTCTGTGTATTTTCTGAAATCTTTATCTTCTGTTATATTTATATTTGAACAGGTAATTACTGATGCAAATAGGATTATGACTTGTAGTAGACAATAAACAGCCTGAGCAGATGGCCTCTTACAGAACACATCTTGTTCCAGCATAAGCATTCTGGAGATATTTCTAGGCAGTGGGAACGTTTTGCTCTTTTAGAAGCTTGCTTTTTGTTTCCTTTGAAGTGTTTGTGGCTGTTAAAGCCTTAATAAATATTTCAATAAATAGTAAGTAATTACAGCGATTTTATCAGAAAGAATTATATTAAATATCTCTTTGAAAAAACTCCAATATGATTACCCTTTTTTAACTTTCGTGTGAAATATTACATACTTAAGTGTATGAAATAAATAATATGTTATAATATGCATGATTATGCATAAGTAACAAGAAATAGAACATACCAGCACTTTAGAATCCCATCCAACTCCATTTGCCTTTCTTAGTGAGATGTCCTTGCCTGATTGAGGTAACTTACCATCCTTACTTTCATGGTAATCACCTTACTTGCTTTGCTTTATATTTTAACCAGTTAGATGGGATAGCTTAAGGTAGTTTAGTTGACTCAATTTTAATCTTTAAAGAAATTGAATTATATATTATGCATTCGTTTTGTCTAGCTTGTTTTTTGCTCAACATTATTTTTAATGTTCATTCATGTTGTGTATAGCTGTAGTTCGTTCATGGTTATTGTTGTATAGAATGCCATTGATGAATATATCACAATTTATCTTTTCTNTCTCTCTGGAGCCTCTTTTATAAGGGCACTAATGCCATTCACGAGGGCTCTGCCCTCATGACCTAATCATCTCCCAAAGGCCTCAGCTTCTAACACCCATCACCTTGGGGTATTTTGATATATGAATTTTGGGAGGACACAAACATTCAGATCATAGAAGTTGTAAGTCAAATCAGTGGGGGAAACAAGCTGTTTAATAACATGTTGAAAGAATTGGTTAGCCATCTGAACAGAAGTGAAGTTGGAAGCATTCCTCTTCATGTATACCATGATAAAAAACAAACTATTAATAAAACTATAAATGTACTAGAAGGAAATATACGTATGAGGATGAAATAGAATGAAATAGGGGAGAATATGGGGAAGGTCAATCTAATTATAATAAAAATCCAGAAGCCATAAAAGAAAAGATTAATGAGTTTGTAAGTAAAGAATTTCTGCATAGCAAAAAGCACTGTAAGCAGAATCAAAATACAAAAATATATGCTGAGAAGAAACATTACAAGTCATACTATAGAAATATAATTTCCTTAATTTATAAAGAACTCTTATTTGGTAAGATTTTTATGAAAAATTTGATTGAAAAAAGGACCAACAACTCAGTGGAATAATGGAGAAAGGATATAAGAAGATCACATAAAAAGCTGTACAGCTATTTCTACAGCATTATGCAATGATGCTAAACCTCATGATAATAGAAATGCATGTTAAAACTAGACCAGCATATCATTTTGTACTTGTTAACTTGGCAGGAATCCGAAAGTTTGCTTATCTTTTCCATGGGTAGTCTCACCTATGAGAAAATGGGCTGTTAACACATTGCTGGTCAGAGTCTTCATGAGTAGAATTGCCCTATGGAGGATAATTTGGTTATGTCTAGCAGGATTATAAATATGTATATGCTCTCTGACACAGTATTTTCACAGTGCTTTTAATTCTAGGTATATATTCTATAGATTTACTCATGTGCAAA